AACGATATTTAAATAATCGAACCTCTTTTATCCATATTTGGGAAACGTGATAGTTAACGTGTTAACAGTTCAAAAATATTCTTTAACAATTTCAATCAATACTGATTGATCCACGCAATTTCTTTCAATTCAAGAGCACTCGGACAGCATCGCGATCTTCAAAACACCCCCCGAAACTCATTGATTGCCCCGAGTCGTCGGTCCGAAAAAGAACGTGAATCAAGCCGCGAATGTAATCAGTTCGGTAATCGGATGGAATGGCGAGCTTCCCCGACAGAAGAAGGCAAAGCTCGCTGTTGAAAAAGAGATAGGAAGGGAGATGGAGTTTGTAAGCTCCACGAGGGGGGCCCTGAGTCACCTCACTAAATATAATGCACCGTGGTACGGCTACGCGTATACATACAACGTGTTCGACGTATGATCATCCGGCTCGGAGTGCGAGAGCTTCGCGTTCGAAACGCCAAAACTTGCGCGGGCCGTGCTTTTAAAGTGGCACTGCTGAATCACTCGCGGGGGCGAGATGCTCGAACGGGGACGCAAGACAGCTCTTGTCAGGGGATTTTCGAGATATCGGGATTTCTGGGATCGACTGTCCGTGGCGTGACGTTGTATACTGAACCGATACACGTGCAGTGTCTGTCATTTTTTTCTTTTTCCAATTGGAGTCAATACATTTCAGTTTATGTACAGCGAATATAATTGTTTTATTTTATCTTATCTTCTTCACTGAATTAGAGTTTGTAACAGCTTGCGACTGATTCTTGGAATTTGTACCTTTAACCCTTTGAGACCTGAATTTTTTTTAAGAGTAAAAAAATGTTTAATTACGCATTTTAATTCGGTAGACTGTTTCGATGATATTTTGCTTAGAAAATTAAAAGGAAAGGTTTGTTATTCAATTGTGAACTCACTAACCTAATAAAAACATTTAGAAGATGAAATAATTCAAATTTATAAGAAAAATATGGATCTGCAACAGAGTATACCTAAAGAAACTTCATGTGCACAAATGTGACCTCCAGGTCTGAAAGGGTTAACTCTCGTGCACTGTTCAGTAAACTATTGCATTATTATTCCTTGAATTAAATTGCAGGTGAATTAAGATCGAGTTAAGGAAATGTACATGCCTACTGCTAGATTATAATTAGACTGTGGATTTTATGCATTTATAGCATACTCAGGTGTCTACAATTAAGTATAGTAAAAAGGTTAATGAAATTCAATAAGATTTTTATTTTACTCACAACCCAAAACAATCTGGGTAGAGTAAACAAAATTTCTATTTGATTTCTGGCTGTGTAAATTCATCCGAAAAAGTTTATATGTGCATAAACATCCGTAGTATAATTACAATATACATATGTAAGTTACTCGTGTCAAATTAATTTACAAATTTCTATAATGAGAGATAAAATTTAGAATCAAACATTGAATTCGGGTCAAATCCACCCGAATAATGCACGCGTTTAGTAAACTGATATGTTCCATTATATTAAATTTATGTGTGTTTTGTTCAACATGGACTAGAAAGACGTAATGGAAATAAGTAGTTAAAAATAATGTAGGTAATTTGGTTTTTTAGGTAATTTGTTGTTAGTAATTCTATTAACTATATAAGGATGATTATGTTATATTATTTTATTAAGTTACTGCTTCGACCCAAAAGAATTTTTCTTCCAAGTAATTCAGCAAGGACAACATGACATTCCTGTAATTAACTTTTCCTTTTTTATTAATAATCCTTGTTTCACGGTGTCAGGAAAATGTTACTCAATAAAAGTGACGTTGTAAAACTAATTGCGCTCGTAGCTGATAAGGGGAACCCATTGGTCGAAGGAAACCTCCTTTTCTCACATCGTTAGCTTTTCCGATAATGTAACTCCTTCGCCTCTGTAAACGGATATAACTCGTACACGATTCAGGGTATTTTTACTGGGACGTACAGCGTAGGTAAACGTATTCCGAGAATGATCTTGGGTTAATTACAACAAACTAAAGTGAAATTCAAGGGGTAGGAAATTAAACATTCATGCTAATACGTTAAGATTTCATTGTTTGTCTAATTAATAGAAAAAAATTGTACTGGACCTTGTAATAAGTTCTCGGAAGGAGAACAGAAAGTATCCACTTTCTGTATTTAATTTACTTCAGGTTTTGTTATAATTAAGATTTATAAATTATATTTAACTTTCGTTAATCTTTCATTACATCTTCTTTAACAGTTTAATCTTCAAAGAATAAACTCAAGCTCCATTGAATCGACATAGAATATCCAATCCACTTCAACGTGGTATCATAAATGTTTTATGCAGGATTAATCAAATATCCTCCACTAAAAATACAAATTATTACAAAAGGGAAACTGAATGTAAAATTATTTCTTTAATATGAATAGCATTATAACATTACGCAGACAGGTTCAAAAGTTACAGAAATAAGTAGCCAGACATATTAAATACACCAACCCATATTCCACTAGTCTTTTACATACAAAATACTTACATGATCTTCCATTCCAAAATACTTTAAAAAATATGGTAAATAGTCTTCAAATGACCATTGTTTCTTGATTTTATGAAAAAAAATTTATGTACAAAATACCAAAAGGATGCAGTGAGCGGAATAACATATTACGAATATTGTTAAGATTAATATTGGAATTTGAATTATTTTAGAACAAATAAAATTTCACAAAAAAAACACTTATTGGCACGCCTAATAAGATCCTCGATTTTCCAAAAGAGTGTGTAGAAAATTCAACAAAAAGAAAAAAAAACGAAAAATAGTGGATTATTCACCGAAACAGCTAACGGAAACCGAGACTTGAAATCAATGGCAAAGAAAAAGAAAAGATTATGCATCTCGTCGGTTTCAGCCCGGAACGATCGACAAAAGGAATTCCTTTGGTTCTATGAACTCATTGTCATGGTTGAATGTTCCGTATAGTGTCGTTCGTAAACGCGGAACGATTCGGATAGGGGCCAGCACGATTGATATGCGAGTGAAAAGTTCACGGTATTGCGAAGGAACGGCAAAGGCGGCAGAAGAGGATGACGATGAACAACGCTGGTCGGAAACTCATCAGCCAGCCGTCGTTGGACAGCGAAAGTAACGAGCGTGTCAGCACAGACCGCGTGGGTAGCTTTTTCCCTCTTCATGCTTACACGAATCCGCCAACTGAACACGCGCACAACCGTACCGAGCACACACCGTGTTTGTTGTTGCTGCTGCTGCCCTCCACAGTTTTTTTCTTCCTCCTCGCACGTATCATCGTTTTTATTAGTTATTCCACGCGAACGCAGAATTCGCCCCATGTCGAGCCATTCAACCCTTCCTCCGTACTCCGCCATATATTATCATACACTTCGAGATCTATCCAACGAAGACTGCAAACAGTTCCACCCACTATACTTTCTGCGTTCACGAAATTGCATTTTATCAGTTATTCTATAAATGCATAAAGTCCGCAGTCTAGTAATTGTAGAGGGTGTTCGAGGAATCATGGTACACGCCATAAGGGGCGATTTCTTATCTAAAAATAAGTGGTATGTATAGACTGGATCTCTTTCATATGAGGGTCCGTTTTCGAGAAGAATAGAATTGAGTATTCGCCAGATACGCGTGTTATCCACTAGGACTTATTCAACGTGTCTGTTCATTACATACCGTTTCTACTTATTCTCGGTTTTATTCTAGGTCATTCTCGAAAAGTGAATCTAATATGAGCGAAATTTCTTCCAGAATTTTGACTTATTCTCTCATAAGGAATCGCCCCCTTTTTGTTGTACTACAATTATTGGGACACTCTGTACATGCAAGGTACTTATTTAAATTATTTGAGCATACAAAATAGTAGTAATTTGTAAATACACTTTCCCCGTTTTAATTATGACATATACAATCTCAGGGAGTAGGTCATTGGTGATCCAGCGTCCACTGGTGATTCAGTGTTCACGGACGAAGGATTAATGAAAGTCATTAACTTGGGGGATATGAAACCTATTAATTACAAAAAGTGTTTAGAATTGGCACTTTATTAAAGGACAAGTGTGACTTTTTCATTTTTCTTCAATCAAGCATTTTCTCTATGAGGTAGTAACATTTCACAATAATCTGTGAACATTACAAAAACAATTACAAACTTGTTCGAATAATTTCCTATCACGTGTATTGAGAATTGTTCCGTGCAGGGAGATGCATCACCTGTCAAAATATTACGTACTACCAGCAAGCATCTGGACATTACGATCGCTTATGCTATAATCCCTCGTTACGATGCTGCAGTCGGCGGCTAGGACGTAAGATTATCTATTGCGTCTTGCGTGTTACGTAATGGAAACAGTTTTTCGCGTAGTGAGTATCAGGACAATGACAACAGACAACGATTAACACGTGACCGAGTGCACGTGCTCACGCGATACGTGGTCACGTGCAATCTTTATCACGAGACAACGCGATCAGTATGTAACGATCCCGTCGATTTTCGTACAATTGACTGGCTGTTCAAGGCCAGATCGCAGAGTTTAGTTATAATAAATTAAAATGTCATTAGTAGACTATCGATTTTTACATTAATGAATAGACTAAATGAAATATTATTTAAATGAAATTGTTTTTCGAGCAATTGGCTGTTCAAGTCCAGATCGCAGAGTGTAACTATGTATTGTAAATTGGGTTGCCATTAATAGACTAAGGATTGTTATATTAACAAATAAACTAAACGAAATATTTAAATAAAATATATTTATTACATAAATAAAAATCTTGATATTCTGTAATCATCGGATTTTTCATTTTCTTTTAATTTGTACATACAGTCTTCCGAAATTGTACTCATATAAGTAGATATTGTCAATGATTATGTTTATATAATTGCTTAATCTTTCTGTTACTCATGCACATTTTAACTCAAGCCTTCATTATCGTAGTATAAGCAAAAGTTACGTTGAATTATTGATGAACCACCGATTTCACGTACAAATATTGAATTTCTGTTTCAGGACACCAGAACTCATGTCGTCGTAGAACTTTACGACACTGAGCGATCGTACGTGGAGGCACTGCAAATACTAGTCAATGTGAGTACAACACTGCAATTGTTTATTTCAACGAACTCTACGTATCAATCTCGTGACGCAAAATTGCAAAACTGTTCACCGATTTTATTTCGAACGTTGCTTTTTAATTGAGGCTGAATTTACCCAATATTTAACTCACGTAAATCAAATAAGAGTACATACAAGATACGTAGCTGTCGCAAATTACTCGTAAAAACTGCATGCAATTATTAAATGATCAACTTCGATGATTTTTAGTACGATTACACAGAACCCAATCAATTAATAATTTCAACGAAATCAAATTCTTTTTCGCGTTAATTCCTCTGATCAATATTTGAGACACAAGTTTACTATTTTTTATTTTTCATACAATTTTTGAAATTAAAATGGTCACTGGGCAATTTTTCCGCACAATATCCTTTTGTGGATTACTAGTACATATAAATAAACAAAATCTAATCAATTAAAAACTCTAATCATAATCATAGTTAAAATAATTATGATGAAATCAAGTTGTTTTTTAAAGTTAATTCCTCTGATCATTATTTGAGACACAAGTCTAATATTTTTTATTTTTATAAAATTATCGAAATTGACATAGTAATAGGGTAGTTTTCCGTGGAATGTCCCTTTGGTGTCTATTAGTACACCACCTGGCGGTGTGTCGACAGGAACGCGCTTTTCGAAAGTTTCACGAACATCGAAGCCGCGACCTTGTTTCTCGTAAACAAGCGCGTTGCCCGTTTATTTACTTCGAGCAAGGGTTCCACTCGAGTGATCTACTTGCCGTGCAGTTTCCCCCTAAGTTATGCAACCTCGCATCACTCCCGGGTTGTTGTTTTCATTAAATATGCCCGCGCGGATTAAGAGTGCCGCCTGGTGAGTTTTTGAAACTGTTCACGGAACCATTCCTACGATATAACTCTCAACTACGACATTACATCATTCCGCATTACACAATTAATTTCAATCGAATTACCAATTCAATTTCCTCCGATTGCATTCGAAGCGCGCACCTTTTCGTCGATCTGTTTCACTCGATTGCTGCAGTTCCATTAAAATCGCGATATTTCGCAAAAATATTCAACGAACAATCCATTTTCCCATAAAATGCTTTATGCTGCCTTGAAAGATTAAAGCTGAAGGCTCGAATAAAAACGATTGTCCATTTTATTAACCCTTTAACGGTGGAATTTTGTTTTGAAAATGTGTAACCATTTGATTCCTTTATTCTAATAAAAGAAATATCTTTTTCAATTTTTACTAAAATTTCAATTTTTATAACAGAAGGTATTTTACATTTTTACATGATGAGTATATTAACCATTACTCCAAAAGTGATTATTTCCTCATGAGTATAATCGTGAAACAACGTTGAAGGGTTAAATATCTACGGGAATTATGATGCAAGATCCGCAATTTCATGGAAACTGCTATTCGTTCAATATTTTGTTCGTTGATGCTCTGTTCTATCATGTAACTCTACTTTAATTGACTTCGCAGATGCACTAGTCGTACCTTAACATGTACAGAATCATACAGTTCTCACTATTGAGGCTTTCAGGTGTATGCCGTGTCCTTGTGGAATTGTTTTCCCAACGTTTCGCAAGCATTGCAGCTAACTTCATCAGGGGACTTTTTAATTGTTCAACTGACCAATTAAAATTTCTTTTGATTGGTAAGCAATGAACCGGAAAATGAGCAAGCTCCAATATATGAGAGGAGCACCACAAGGCACCCACCAGTATCAATGTGTCTTTCGACCCACTGATGAAGCTAGCTGCAATGCTTGCGAAACGTTGGGAAAACAATTCCACAAAGACACGGCTTACACCCAGAAGCCTCAACAGTGAGAACTGTATGATGCTGGACCGTGAAAGCCTCAAATCTCTGCTGTACAGAATCGTTTATTTTTCGTCTAGATTGCGCAATTTTCGACTATTTTTCAGGAAGTTTAGTAGAATCAATGCATCATGCAATAAGTACGTAAGTCTACGTAACAGCCTTGTAAATAGTAATATATTCTTTGTTCATACACAATCATTTCTATTCAGATTTCTGCTATGTGTCATCCAAACTAGACAGTGTTGTATCTCTGTATTATCCAAATCGTGCGTCACTTTGGCCCTACGTCGCCAAATTCTCATTCAACTTCCGGAAACTGTGTCCTTCAACTTCATTCTCATGGTTACGCAAAGATCTTGGAAAGATAAAACAATTTACAGATTGGCCCATTTAACCCGCTAACCCGCCATTAACCCGCTAGATTTGTCTACTACAGTGGACGTCTACTTTATCACTTTAGTGACCATATTTGGAACATTTCCTGACGATCGCCAGTACGAAACTTCTTTAAATAACATCCAAACATTAGAAAAATAGTGTTACTGTGAGTACCAGCTCGTCGTTTATCCTGAGCAAACCCATTGTTTATAAAAAAAAATATTATTAAAAAAGTTTTAAATAGTCATAAAGTGACTATTGTTTCTTGATTTTATAAAAAAAAAGAAGAGATTGTTGTATAAGAGTTAATACAGGCTATCCCCGTATAACACAATTTTTCCATTTTTCAACAACTTTCTTACAAATCCTTTACAAATGAAACGATTATCAATTCTTGAACATTACCATTCTGTAGGCAAACTGTATCGCCTATACCCAAGCCTAACTTGTCCACTGTTTTAGGCTTTAAAAAAGTCTGAAAAAATTCTCTGATACTTATCAAGATCTCTACTGCATTATCAAATCATTCGTTAAGTCGAAACGTTTAAAACTTTTCTTTAATGAAAATCAAAATTCGAAGCAACGTCCAGGAAAAATAGGAATTTATTTTGATGGTAAACGACCCACATTGCCTACGGAGAGTTAATATTGACATTAATAATAGAATGCAATATGTCACAATACTGCCCCAAAGGTAACAGAAGTAGTGGTCCCACGCGTTATACTACAATTTGAACTCTCGAAATATCGTTCTGGGCACATTGTGCGCCCGGTCGAAGGGAACGCTTCTCCTCGGTCGTTTGACATTTCGAGAAGCTCGTCTCAAGCCCTCGTCTTCGCTTTCATCTCCTCGCTCCTATCGGGGGCGGCGTGGATCGATAAATAATGCCTGCAATTAGTCCGTCGTAATTACCGTGCCCGCCTCTGCGATTCGATTTGATCACGGAAGGACGATTCTTCATAAACACTGTTTGAAAATCGACACGTAAATGGGTCGCGACCTTGGCGCTCGCGTTCGCGCCAGGCGCGTGTTCTGGATTTAATGGGCGCGATCAGCGACAGACACGACTATCCAGATTTATTTACGCGTATCCGATATGTCGGGCCTCGCGTGGGGTACGTGCGTTTACGAATTCGAACTACATATGAGGCAGTCCCTGATAAATGATTTCACGGACTCATCCACGGTTTCAATAGGGACAGTTGAATCGAAGCCCTTTCAGCCGGACGATTGCGTTATATTAAATCCTTGTTTAGTAAATAATTGGAGGAGAGGTCGGGATACAATTGGGTATCGAATGGCGCGAAGGTCGAGAAGATTTAAGTGGTCGTGACGGTCGGAAATAGCACAGTGGTTTCCGATACGCGGAATTGAACGCAGTTCATTTTCGGAAGTTACTCTATTTCGAATGGTTCATGAACAGTGACAGTCTCTTGTTTGTATGAGGATTTTCATGGAAATTATGGTAAATTAATTTACATTCACATTAGAACTACCAACATGTGTACTAAAGTAAATGGTATTACAATATTGTATGTAATATACAGAGTGTTTCAGGTCGGATAGTGTAACTGGATAGGAGGTGATTGTATTAGAAAAATAAGTCGAAAAAAGAAGTGACATTTTTTCGGGTGATGCTTTGGTTTCAAGATAACCGAATTTGAAAATTTCTTGGATGCACGAGCAATAGGATAGGATTTGGTTACCATGTCTGTTTATTACAGACCATTTCTACTTATTGCAATGTAATATACAGAGTGTTTCAGGTCGGATAGTGTAAGTGGATAGGAGGTGATTGTATTAGAAAAATAAGTCGAAAGAAGAAGTGACATTTTTTCGGGTGATGCTTTGGTTTCAAGATAACCGAATTTGAAAATTTGTTGGATACACGAGCAATAGGATAGGATTTGGTTACCATGTCTGTTTATTACAGACCATTTCTACTTATTGCCAGCACGAATACAAGTGATTTAGATGAATTTGCAAAACCGATTTTCTTGAAAACGAATCCTCAAACGAATTTTTTTCTCATAGAATCACCTCCTGCCCGATTCTATTAGCCGAGCTGAGATACCCTGTATAGTACAATTTAGCATAACACAATGTAACATAAAATATATGTATAGTAAATTGAATGGCCAACGTAAAGCACTATTATAATATCAGTAATTTTAAAATAAGAAATCTGCCATCTTTCGTTTTGACGGGTTTGGTAGTTCTAGTGTTAAGCGTGCTTTACATCAAAGAGAAACATTGTTATTGTTCGTGCTAATTCGACTATTTGAGTAAATGGTGATTGATTAAATTTCCAAAGTACTCGATTTCGATTAGACTGGCAACTATGATGTCTCTTGTCTATATGAAAATTGTCTATATTGTCTATAAGAGATATTTTCATGGAAATTGTGGTAAACTAATTTACATGAACTATCATTAACGTCATAGAGAAATTGTTGTATTAATTGTTTAATCGATTAATCAAAGTCATGAATTGATTAATCGAGGCAATGTATTAAGTAATCTAGAAAAGGTTACTGTATCATCTAAACACATGAAAGTTAACGATCACACAATTTCAGGGGCCGACTTCCGTCATGAGATTTTTTTTAGAGCGAATCACCGAGTATTCGAACCCTCCTTTGATTGTCATATTTTATAAACACAGCGCCAGCCGTGCCACCGTGATTGTTATTGGAGCTGTACGATCATTTACCGGTGTCCTTGACGATGTCGAGAGACCAGCGATTTTTCATGTCGTCGCACTGACCTAGAAAAATAATAGAAAAGGTCTCGCCAGGAAAGAACAAATAAACCACTCGTAGTTTTTGTTGCTTCGAAACGTGGCTCCCTCTTATTGTACGTTATTATCTCTCTATTATATGTTAACCCTTTCGTTTTATTTTTCTTTTATTTGTACGTATATAAAACAATGTTGAACAAATTTAGTACATTCATTTTCTCATTTTATTGATTATTTATTGATTTAATATGAGGATTAAATGATAATTAAAGGAAATTTTAATAATTGAACAACTTAATTTTACCAAATATATTTCCACGTTATGTCTTGTTCAAAGGGTTAATACACCCTTAAAAAACAGTATTTTTGACAACGGAATACATTTGAAAATATTTGTTATTATTGTATATTATTATCCCTCTATTGCATGTTAACCCTTTTTTGTTTTTCTTTCATTTAGACGTATAGGAAACAATGTTGTAGAAATTTAGTTTTTTTATTTTATCATTGTTCTCATATTTATTCAATTAAATGGAGGATTAAATGGTAATAATAATAAATTCTGAGAATTTAGTAACTTTATGTTGCCAAAAGTATTTCAACTTTATCTCTTACTCAGACGGTTAATTAATCCCTGAAAAAGCAGCCCTAAAAAAACAGCACAGCGGAATACGCTTCAAAATATTTTCTTACCAAAGAATCGAACGTTTTCCTTTATCTACATCGGTTCTCGGTCGGTTTCTTTGTAATGGAAATTTCAACCGAATGTTTACTCGGTGATTCTTGCGCGAGAATTTTAATCGTCGTGTTTATTCGGACTCTCGTGTTAAAATTACGACCCTGCTGTTATCCGCGTGCAACAATTTCAGTGACTTTCCAGTGTTTTCGCAGTAATTTCAATCCATATCTCGTTTTTAAATAGTCTCCTCCGAAATTCACGGTTTATCGACTATTATCTCAGCGAATGGTTCGATACATGTCCGAATGAATAATTCATGGTTAAATAAACAAACGACTGAAAGCTCTCGGCTATGCTGAAAGTAGAACGTGATCGTAACAGTCATTCAGCATTAGTTACATCAATGAAATATTTTGTTTGCAGACAATACAGTAAAAACTTGAATAAAATACAGTGGAACCTTTAGTTTATTATTTTCAACTGATTAAAACTCTTCCGTATATCATTAATTCTTGTAACTTAGTTTATTAAAATATAAATTACCATAAACATTTTAAAGTCTCGTAACAAATAAGATGGAACATTAAACTATTTGTTTGTTAAATATTCACTTACGATTTATTACTTTCTTAGCATTAACATGACTGCTTAGCTTGTTATTTATAACGGCCGCTATCTACAATTTTGAAAACAATTCTTCCGCCAACAATATCATACTAATATGCTAGAGATACTAAAATATAAATCTTCATAAATTCTTGCGACATCTTTATCTCATTTCTGTCATAACAAAATGTGTTCAGAGTAGAAATAAATTCTGATTTAATTTCTATCTCTGCAGATTAGTCAATAAAATTGAACTTTGTTACGCGGCGCAATTCTCGAATTTGTTAAATCAGTTTGCTTCGTTTCTAGTCTTCTAAATTCAATGCATTTTCAGATGGCTTGGTGAATAGTACCTGCAGATCGTTTCTCGCCGGTTCATCGCTCAGGCATTCGCGCTTGAAAATAAAGGTCGCCGCATGCTTCCTACGCATTGCATAAATCCACGAAATTCCCTTTCCTCCGTTGGGGATGATGCGTAACCGATCGAATAAATATTCATTTCCCTTTAAATAGTAATAAATCTCGGAACGATGACGTTCGAGTTTATTTTTAATTCTGTGACAGCTTTTTTTTCTCTCCGAAGAGGAATTCGAGGAATTGAATTGCGACAACATTAGCGGGCCTATGCACTTATTTATGAATCGGAAAAAGAAACAGAACTGTCGTTTAACCTAAATACTTCTCTGTCGTTGGAGATACAGGGAGTGAAGACACATATGTGGTTTATTTCAAGTAAAGTCTGTTTTTCACGAATTGCCGTAAAAGTGTACCATGTTTTATAGCGTTGAAAAACGTTTCAATTCTTTCGTGATAAAGATTCCTCTGAGTTTTGAAAGAAATGTCAAATTTCTTTGAAACTTCGATAATTTCAGGTTATTGTTAGAAACACTATGTACTCATGGGCGTAGCCACGGGGGAAGGGGGGGGGCACTTGATTTAGGAACAAAGTGGCTTTTCCCCCACCCTACAAGAAAAAAATTGGATCCACCCCCGCAGCCTTCCGAGGGTTACAAAATGTTTGCGTAATATTTAATATTGCAGTATAATTTGAAACACGACCAACAGCCTCTATTAATAAAACGCATACATTTTCAACGATTTATGACTTTAAAAACAAAATAGAGTGTGTCTGGGTACGCACAGCTTTTTTCACTGTGGCAGTCGATGTGTTAATACCCCCCCCCCCTCCGACTGATAACCTGGCTACGCCCATGTATGTACTGTTAGATATAAAACTAAATTCTTTTACAAAGGAAACGAAATCAATTCTAACTGATAGCATTGTGTATATCAAAGTTTGAAAAAGGAACACTTTCAAAAATTTATATGCTTATGTATTATTCGGAATTATTTTTTTAAAGTCTTCAATACTGTAAGATATTCTTGCTTAAGAAACTAACAAAAATGTGTGATTTTAGAAATACCTACAACCATTGAAGAGTTCCGAAAATGCCGGTTTGGTGGATGCAGCGACGGTGGATGAAATCTTCTATCAGGTAATTTAATTATTTTTTAATTTATCAATAGAATTCGAAATACTCGATTCGTATAAACAATAAATAAAATGTTTTTATCTTAATTTTATACTTGAATGAAAAATTCACTAATTTAATATTTTGTTCCCCCCTTATTTCGCTGGAGTAGATATTCCGATTCTGTGGCGATTGAATTCTTTGTTAAATTAAAAGTTGTATAAACGTTTAATTGGTTTTAATGAATTTGGTTTTATTGCATTTCAAATGTGTGCGTGTTTTGTAAATTAAAAAATTCTGCAGTCACCTTATTGATATAAAATAGAAAACAAAGATTATTAATTCACGTATCGTTTTACTTTTGTAATTGTAGGAAATTATATTAAGTTTTATTAATATCAACATTATATATACCGTTATAGGAGATTTATATTATGATATGTTAATGTTATAGCTTAAAATATTTAAAAATGAAATGTCCGTCTTACATGAAAGTTCTGTTACGATAAATATTATCGCGCCGAATATGCTGGTGGCTGACTTTGTTCGGACTTCTCTACTTGTCTGACATTCCATTGAATCCCGATGCGCTGGAATATTCATGTGTACTCATTGAATGCAATACGAAAGCCCATCATGAATGAACTCCTTTAAAGCGGTTTACTGAGTCCGTATTCGTGTTTGATTAATCTTCCTACCTTTGATTTTCAATGATTGTCTACTGGAAATTATAATGCAAAAATTAAAGGTAGAATCACAATGAAAGGAATAAACCTTTCTTATTATATCGTAGTTATTCTAGAAATGGGTACCAAAGTTTCGAAAAATAATTTGAAATAGAACATAATATTGACAATTACTATTTTTTTCGAAAACTGTTAAGCAGAAAGTAAAAATTTTTTAATGACTACGAGCAAACTGGAATATTATTATCTCCATTTGACCTGAATAATATTATTATTTCTGACCTGATTTGACCTGAATACTATAATTATTTTCTGCGTACGAAGCTCGAATAAAAAGCTGAGATCTGTGACTCGTCCACAAGTTAATGGCTGTTATATGGCCCATTGTTTTGTGCACAATGGTTTCTTACCAACGGAAGGGGCAACACTGTTAAAGACAGCACTCATGTGTTTTAGATTCCCTCTATCCTCAATCATCACGAAGTATTTCTGGAGGAGCTGCGTAAAAGACTCGATACCTGGGAAATTAAGCAGACAATTGGCGATGTCTTCCTTGATGTGGTATGTTTCTTCATTCGTTGTACAATAGAAACTCCTTATTAGATAAAATTATACGGTATCCATTATACATTGTATTCTTAGAATTGCTATTTGCTAGTGTTGTAGGATTAATAATTCATAAGAAAAATAGCGTAAATAATAATAAGCAATTTTTGCAAAATCACATTTTGAGATTACTTTGAAAAAGTCGACACAGAGTTGTAGAAAAATTCATTTGCTCGTCCAAGTAATTTTTTTAAGCGGAAAATAAAATAAAAATTACATTAATGTTCGTTAAATTTTTGGTTTCCTTTAATTTTGTACAGTTTCATACTCCATAAATGCATAAAATTCATAGTATAGTTATAAATTCGTTACTTTTAAAAAATTTAATAATAAATTTTCATAATTAAAGTGTAATAATGATTTATGATAACTTAACTTCGACTTTCAGAGTAGAATTCATTTATGTCCGTAAGAATAGGCGTAATACCCATTAAGGAAACTAAGATATAATGACATATTCTTTACAGTTCAGGAAGCCAGTCGTCTTGGAGACGTACACCCTCTTCCTTGATAATTGGAAGTCCGCGAGGAAGGCGATAAAAACGACCTGTCAAGCGAAACCGGCTTTCGCGCGATTCCTCGAGGTACACGAGAGCTATTCCCTTTCATTTTCCATATTTCAATTCGTGGTATTATCTCCTATGTTCTCGAGTATCAATTCCATCAGGAATCGCATGTGCAAATTTTGCAAAAGGTTTAATAGTATCATATGTTTTTCTACGTATTCAGTCTGAATATACGATTCCATCTACATCCATGCTTACATCTACATATATCTACATCTATCTCTACATCAATATCTACATCAATCTGTACATCTATTTTCACATCTATCTTCACATCTATCTCCACCTTTATCTCCACCTCTATCTCTACATCTATTTTTACTTCTATCTCAGTGTTTACCTCCATATCTGTATCTTCACCTATATCATTGTAGGAGAACTACACACTCCTATTTCACTATGCTTAAGAAATGAATATTTTCAATTGTTACACGCACCGTAGACAATGGAACGAGAACACAAAGGAAAACTTGGTCTGGATCAGTTGCTGATCAAGCCTGTGCAGAAGATACCCCGTTACGAGTTGCTGATCCAAAGACTGTTGAAACACACCGATACGTCGCATCCGGACTTCGAGCTACTCCAAGCCGCTCGGAACGAGGTGCACGAATTGGTTGTGAAGATCAATTGCACAGAAAGGGAGTCCCTCGAGTGGGAGCAACAGCAGACTACTTTAAGGGAGGTTCAGTCACTCGTCGAAGGACTTGCTGGCATCGTTACGAACGACAGGTGAATGTCTCACATTTCTTCGTCATTCGATAAAAGTTCACATCTACACCGATGAATATACGCATATCTGCTTGCATGTACCAGATCAACTTTGAAACATTCTAAATTAGAAACATATTATTTATACTTTATCTATTTTTTTTAACATATTATTTACACATTTTCAATGTGTAGAGCGCTCATCTTTACCTGTAGTTGTGTTAATATATTCAGTTTGTGACAACTCGTGTATAAAAAAACATCAGTACACAGGGTGTGCGTATAATAAAGGCGATCTGGTTGATTTCTCCTGTAGAATTGAATAAAAATATTCGATGCATTTTTCTACACAAGCATTCTGTGTATTTGGAAAATATACAGTTTTCATTATTTCGGACTGTATAAATCGTAGTAGACTTTGTGAGTCAAAACAGATAGTACTGTACTTGTACCAATATTTACAAGTAGAAATAGTAACTACTGATCAGACACATTAGCCAAGTCGCACTCAACAGCACGTGTATTTCACGAATGTTCAAAATAGACTTCCTTGAAAGTAAAACTTTTTATAGACAAATTTCATCCTATGTTTTCGATTGAATTATTTTTTACATTGTTTTTACCAGTCTTAATTCATCGTAAGATCAACTAAAAATCACAGAACAAATCGGAAAGTATAAACTAAAGTATATTTCTCAGTCCAATTATCGTCTTTATAAATTGCCCTGAATCGATACACTGGCACGCGATAAATTGGTCTCCACGCTTCGAATCTAATTTCTATAGTTTTCAACTTTTCCAATTTGTACACGACTTGTTTTTCACTTACAAAGGAACCGAACGCACAATGGATACCCCGATCAAATATCCCCTCCCCTCCTGTTCATGGAAAAACGTTGCACCCGGTTTTTCATTTCACGAGCCATTCAACCTTTAAGTATGCATACCGTATTGATTCCCAATACCGCTGCGTGTCGCGGTAAAAAATTGCCGAGAAGAATAAAAAAACTCGATCGGAATAGACGCATCTATTTTTGCTGCAGGGCATTCGTCCGCCACGATCTGGTCACCATTGCCTCGAACCAGGGAACAAGAAAAGAACGGGCGTTGTTCCTCTTTTCCGATCTGCTCGTGATCACTAGTATCAAGAGGAGAAGCGGGACCATCAGAAAACCGTCGACGTGAGCTTTCATCTTACTTCTTAAACATTTAAATAATATCTTATTTAATTATTCAGACGCAGTTATTTTTCAAAGTTGCAAGCACAAATAATCGATTGGAAATTTTGAAAAATGTAATGACTCGATATAAACTTATTAATTGGTGACGATACTTCATTTTTTTTTTATAATTTATATTACAAATAAAATAATAGCGTTGTCATAGGCGTCAATGAAATTTTCATTCTAATATTTTCACCTGTTATTAGAAGTGAAAAGAATTGTAATCGATTATGGAAAGTCTGAGACGAACAAAAATTATGGTCGCTCTTGTAACGATGTGAAAAATATTGTTTAAATAAAACCGAGTCCCAAGTGTCCGTAATGTGGTAGAAGGTAGTACATCATAAGGAATTTTGTTCTTTTTACAGAAGTTCCTGCCCGAACAGTCTGGTCGGCCTACTGGAAGCAAATAAGTACAAAATGTTAATGAGAATACCACTGGACGACCTAGAAGTTATGAAAGGTATTTTTAATATTCCTCAGAACTTGTTTCAATATTCTTTCCTATTTTTATTCTTTTTCTAATGTCTTGCAATGGTCGTATCTACATTCTTTATCTGCATAGTATGAATTCTCTTCTTCCTATTTACGACCATTAAAGTTGCAATAAAATAATTTCAAGTGAATCATACAAGTTCTTAAAAGCCATTGATTTCTGTCGACAGCCAAAGATGAAAATTTAAGACGAATGGCTCGCGAGGTAGACCATCTTCGGGAAGACTGCGCGACATTGACACAACTTCAGGAACTTGCGTCAACGTTACACGGCGCGAAACAGCAACTGGAGGATCTCATCAAGGATATGCTGGGCCAGGCGCAACGTCAATTAGCCGAGAGGAATGCAGCACATTCACAATTGGCTTGCTTGGAATTAACGCTGAATACTCAGTGAGTACTGACAAATTGCAATTTAAAACAATTCCGAAATCGTTTCCATTTTATTTTCGGTTTTGTAAGAAAAGGATTTAAAAGTATTTAGTGGCAACGTATGGTTCTGAGGTACAAGAATCTATTGCATCTGAGAAAAACTTGTATTTTAATAACTATAAAGAGAATTTGCATCTACAGGTTGAATATCACAGAAAAGTTTGAGTGTCCTATTATACGTCAATTATGTCGTGATCAGTCATTCTGTTCTAGTTTTGAAACACGTTGTACATAAAGAATATGATAAAAACTTGATACATTTAAAATAGCTTTCAATTACACAATCTTAATCTTTAAAGTCATAGAATTGCAATTACACGTTCACAATTTTTTTCCTTCCTCCAACAAAACTTGAATTATTTTAAACTAATCAGTAAACTGCAAATATTAATCTGCTTGCAGAGTTTCAATACAATTCCATAAAATTTTCAAGTTCTTTTGAATTCAGTAACACCGTTTATGAAAGTATTAAAACTCTTTTTAACGACAATTCGTGAGAACGTTAATCCGCAGTTTACCGGTCATTCACGCGCCCCTCACACTGAATATCGAAAGGTACAATCACTAATGAACCCAAATACCTCTCAGAATTCATTCTCCCCTTACACGAATTCACTTCTCACCCCCATCCTCTGTTTTCCTAACAAACTTCAGGAATACACGGCTCCGTCCACGTGTCATTCGCCGCACAATAAACCCTCCACGATTTAATTCCGCTCGAGAGGCCGCCATAGAACCAGTACTTTCAACCACTGACATACCATACCCGTTAGTCGCGCCACAAAGCACCATTCCCGGCAGCGCCTACAATACCCTATTTTTGCATTGTTCCCATCACGTTTCTGGCCCACGTGCCTAAACACCACGAACGTCTGATTATTCCGTATTTTCAGCCCGTATAACGCAACGTGACTTATCGACACGTTGGTTTCCATTTTCAGAGCCGGGATCGAGAATGTCTCCGTCATGTTCACGAAACCGGACAAGAGAGCCAGCTGGGAGGAGAGCTTCAACGAGGCGAAACAGAAGTTGGGTGAGTACCCATCAGTCTGGCCTGCGCGTGCAACTGGCGGTCTGACCTATCTCTTGATATCTCTCCACTTACAGCGTTGTCCGCTGATAGGAGGCCATGTCCAGAATTTGTGGGTCCTCTGCCGATTCGAAAGACCCGAGCGGGGTTGCAATTCACTTGCGCAGCACCAACGTTGACCAACGGACAGGGCTCCAGGGATGTCTGGGTGTGCAACAGCGACGGTTACGTCGGTCAAGTCTGCGTGCTGAGTTTGACCCCAGAACCGCCTCAGGTCACCTCCTGCAACGGTGTTTGCAACGCGAGGATCCTGTGCGTCGCGGGAATCCCAGCTTGCACGCAGAGGTAAGCGTTGTCTCTTTTCAAGAGTCATCTGATTTGCTAGAGGCTGCTATGTTGCGGTCTGGGTACTTGCGGTCAGTCATAGAACAATTCGAGATTGGTGGAGTATAAGAGTGTCCTTCCGATATAGTCTGCCTGCTAATCATATCCAGTTTCATCTGCCCCTGAATGGTCTCCTTTAGAGAAAAGCATTAACCGTGATAGTTACCTGAGTACCTACTGCTATCTCGTATACAATAAATGCTACCGAAACTAATGTAGGTAGTTGAAGATTTCGATGTTTATTATCAATCCTCAACTGCGCCAGCGCTGGGTTATTCATTGTCCAAAGGATTTATCCTCTAACTAACATTGGATCCTTAGCAATCATACCCTATGCCTCTTAACTCGTTATGCTCCTGATAATTTAAAACCAGCTGAGATGAAAGAAATGGTTGTAATTTTCAATTTTTATAAGATTTCATGTATGTATGCTATTCCCTACTTATAATTGACAGCAGTGGAGGCAAGTTTATACTCATCTATAGTCAACTAGAGCCATAATATCCGGGGAAAATGATTATTATGGAGGCGAAGCGCATTTATAGAAAGGGAAGATTTTATATCCTAATTATAAAACCTGAAAAAGAGAGCGAGGCGGTTAAGAATAATATCATAGCAATGTTATAGTAATAGTGTCTATGATGACTCGATAGACGCACAAGTATAAAGGGTTAACAGGCCCAAGATAAAACCGAATTCATCATTCTCCTTTCACAGTTTCTATTCCTTGACACTATCTAGCTCACTAATCCGTAATCTGCACCAATTTAATATTTCTCTCGGAAGGACACGGCTTACAGTCACAAATCTCGATTCGCGTGAGCGGCAATACCGTGGACATTGAATTCGTTGTTAAGATACACGAAGTGGCAAGAAGCAATGAAGGGTCTACTAAGAAAAATTATTCGAGCATTAAAAATTGATAGGAATCAGGTTAATCTTCAAAGTCGTAGCACGTTGTTGCAATGGCGGGTAGGCCTGTAGAAAGAATCTTTACTGTACCTGTATTGTATTTTAGATCGAATTCGTGCGTGACTAACAACACTTCGTACGCGAACAGTAAGAGCGGCATTAGCATATCGGTCCAGGATGTCGATGCCAGTGGCGGGAACATACAGTTAGATAGGTAATACTTATGACATTAAATCGAATTGCATCGTTGATTAGACAGTGTTACGTAACAAAGAGTCAATTTCGTTTCAAAACTGTTATACGATCTGATTAATCCTTGGTGTTTTCTGATTGAATCTTTTAAATTCCTTTGAAAACTGGCAGATGGTAACAATTATTGATTGATTCCTTGTTCTACAGGGTGATTCATCTAACTTAACACCCTCGTGTTGCCAGTAAACTAATTCATCGTGTAACAAAATATAACGCGGAATTCAATCTTGTTGAATATCGTAACCTTCGATCTTTTAAGCAGGACATTTTACATTACGTCGAGAAATAAGAAATCATTGCAACCCTAACTGATAAATTATAGTATTCGAGGAGGCCTGAAATATTAGTTAGGGAAGTATTTGGGAAAAGAGATTTAGTTATTCATTACAGGAGAGAGAAATGATAAATGAATTTTAAGCACGACACTTATCTGTTTAGTTCTCAGACATTGACCCTGTCGATCCACGGGGAATGATATAGCGTTCAGTCGATGTGATACTAATTAAGTTAGGCGAATCACCCTGTACGACGTCGTAGTTAGAAGCACGTTCAGAATTTAATGTAGAACGTACATCATGGATAATCCAAGGAAACCATTTTGCAGTAGCTCGAGCTCCGAGGACTCGGACTCGGACGACATTCCATGTGCAGATACGGGTAGCCTGACTTTGGGCGGCGACGTCCCGAGTATCGACAGTTCGGCGACGGAGGAGGACACCAATCAACCGACTATGTGGCTGGGAACCGAAGACGGATGTGTACACGTTTATAATTGTAACGACAACATCAGAATAAAGAAGAATAAAGTAAAGTTACAGCACAATAGCAGCGTGCATAGCATCATGTAAGTTCTCTGTCAGTATACTTTCTTTTTACATTACCAAATTTCCATTATTACAGAACATGTACACATTCAGTTAATTTTTTATGAGTTCTGATAATACGTTATCATAATCGATTTAATTTCTAATCATGGAATAGTTTAGGGAATTAGACTGTTTATCAACTGACTAAATCTTTAATCCACCGGAAGTTTGGTATATTAATGAAGTAACGTTAGATTCTATAATTTTAAACTTTTACAATATTCTTTTTTATATATTTCGTTGGAGACTTGGTGAAAAATTAAACCGTACCATACTCGTGAGTCATTAAAAAAATTATCTACTCAGGGATAGATTGATTATCCTTTTTTCCAACGTGATGACATCCTGTGCCTTAGAATATTTATACAAGGGATAAGTAACTTGTATGAATAACTCCTTAAATAATGTATACATATTTATACAAATTTTTTTCTGCTCAATGTTCCAGATACTTGGATAATAAAGTGTTCGTGTCCCTTGCTAATGGAGACATCACTGTTTACGCTCGAGATCACCGTAAGTTCCACAAACTTCTACATACATCTTTAAGTTAATTTCACGTTGCTTTCCCTTCGATACAAAATTAGCAGTAATTACACAAAATATTATTTTCTACTTTTTACTATTCATGTGAACTAGAACCCGTCACTTTGTTTCAATCGCGGATGAAAGTATAATACGATATTTCTTTTATTTCGAACCTAATAAATCTGTTTGTTAATTGTTAAAGCGATGCCCTATGCGATTCATGTCTTCGTAACTGAATCTATAAAAATACGAATTTGAATGAACATCTGCAGTTTAATTGTAATAATGGAGTTAAAGTGGACGAAACAAATTTTAGAGTTTCAATATTATTTTAATTAATGTAATTTAATTAATCGACAAAACCTCAAACTTCCAGTGGGTGCCTGGAACACACCAGATCCAACAACTGTACCGGTGGGCACAGCCTCGTCTCCAATAACAAGGATGCTTCCGGTATCCGGGAAACTTTGGTGTGGCTGTCACAACTCCGTGAAAATTCTGAACACCCTTACGTTGGATATCGAGCACACGTTCGCAGTGAGCAACGACACGTCCATGTCGGTTTCCTGTATGGCGAGTTCCGGTGGTCTCGGTGTCTGGATCTCTTTGCATAACAGCGCCGTGCTGCGACTGTTTCATTCGAGCAGTTACGAGTGCTTGACGGACATTAATATAGCGCCGGCTGTCACCAAAATGCTTACCAGTAAGTCTCTACATGGATACGAACGAAAAGTATCTTGAAATATAATTACGACTTAGGTTATGAATTATGGAGGTTTTCGGATCATTTATAAGCTTTATTATACTAAAGTTAGATACACTGCTCTAAAGAATTAGGGGATCGCTAATGTGGACAGCCCCTTTGCATCCACCAAACAAACGAAACAGAACAAATGCTACAGGGTTGCTAAATTGATATCATTAACATACAATACTAACACTATTAACACCTAGTAGTTTTTGTATAAAAAAAACTATTCGAATATTATACGTCGTATTCATCAACAAAACGACTGCAATATATGATCCTCTCATGGTTTTGAGAAGTGTAGTTGAAGAGGAGGGATAATCTTGAGCCAGAATTTGAGTAGAAATTATGGATGCACACTTCAGAAGCTTTTTGTAATGTACTGTCCTCAATTGCATGGTAAAAATTAGTGCAATTTATTTTTAACTGCACTAATAGCTGTAGAGGAAGGAAAATACTATAAACAATTAAATAAACGTCATAAAGTTGCTACCCACCTTAAAATAAAATATGATCCCACTAGCAACTGTGTTTAACTCTCGGAGTATGGACCGTCATCGCCCGTGACTGGGTCATTCGTGACTCACAACAGAATGTTATAAACACGTATAGACATAAGACGATATTCCATTCGTCGTTGTAAAAACAGTGCAGTAATTGTGTTCATCGACGGGTCACCGATAACCCAGCCGTAAGAACGCAAAGGTTAACACGTTCACCGAGGAACCTCTTTCAGCTGACTGTTCATTCACGCAGACAGTATTTTGTTATATTTTAATTTGTATTACACGGTCCTAATATATTAAGTAATTGATATAAATGTGTTAAGTAAGAATAGATCTGATCCATTTGCATTGGTCGTCATCCTGAAATATGAACGAATGCTATTTATGGTATTTATTTTAACGGAAGCTTTAAACTTGCTGCAGGTTGCGATGACATAATACGACAGCACAAGGCCGCCTGTCTCAGGGTCACCGCACTGTTGGCTTGCAACGAGCTGCTTTGGATCGGCACAAGCGCCGGTGTGCTATTGACCGTGCCAATTCCCCATATAAAGCCATCCACTCAGAGGATGTCCCAGCCGCCGATCGTAACCGGTGAGTATTGACGTCAGATTCGATCGGCTATACGCGACCATCGTTATTGCCCCGAATATAATTAGACACTGGCCGGACTTCGTCGCGCTTCTGCATAAAATGTTTGCCTCCGACACGCCAGGGCAAGATACAGGCGCGATCAATCATTTTGCGAAATTTTTGGATCCGTCCGTGTATTCCCGCCGGCGATTACGCGCTCGCGCGTGATATTTATAAGGTGCTAGCTGGCCGACAGCTAATAAATCAGGTGAAATGGTCCGTTTGATGTTGCATCCTAGTGAACAAGCTCTTGATCTTTGGTACGATCTAATTAGGATGCTCGTGGCACAGGTATATCTGTCCTGCTTTGAACTTCAATTTCGAACTGTTGGTATTGATTTCCACCTCTCCAATTTCTTTAAATAACTGGTATATAATATATAGTAATCACTATTTAAGAAGATCGAGCTGAGTGTTGATCGGTAGATCGCGGTTCTTTATACAGAAATAAGAACTAGATTTCAAAAGAAAAGTGTAGTCTATGATAAAAATGATTAAAGGTTTTAGCGATTAGTAATAACATTTGATAATGTGTTTCAGGTATTCCCCATGGGCACACCGGCCACGTACGTTTCCTGACGTGTGTCGAAACGACGACACCATCGAAGCCGAATCCACGTCCGAAAGTGAATCGATATTCTTTGAAATCGAGCAAGAACCCACAGAATAATATCAATCGCGGGAAACTTCTCGTGATATCTGGTGGCGATGGTTACGAGGACTTCAGAGGACCTCAGGCTTCCGCCGAGCTGCAGGCTGGTCGCGAAGACTCGACCAATCATCTGCTGCTTTGGAAAGTGTGATGTGACCTAGAACGGCCCTCGGTAAGCGATCTAAAGCAACATTCGTTTTATTCAAATGTACTGCATCATCCCCCTAAGTTGTGCAGCTTTTCTGAGAGTTAAATGTAAAACGATATAATTAATCGTTGTCATCAGGTCTCTGCTTGGTACATGTACTATCCTAAACAGAGACCTTCAGATGACATTACAGGGAGTGTAGACCAAGTAGTTTAATTATTACAAACATTTAAAATCGACGTGACGAAGTAATATAGTCAGTATGTTATGTTATATGAGTTTAGTAGAGTCACTAACGTAATTTCAGGAGTGGAAAACATCTTGCAGATGTATAATGATGTTATTAGAGTAAGTCAGGGTTAAAGACTTTAGAAGAAACTTCGAGCAGTCCCCAAAGGTGAACCTCTGTAGAACTAAATGAAGATATTTTGCGGGTTACTACTGAACAAGATTAGTCAATAACGACGGAAAAATTCATACAAACGTTGAAAATGAAGAAGTCATTTAAAAAAAGAAAGAAATCACTGATGGGTGAGATTAATCCCATGTCATGTCCACACAATCCCTAATCATTTAATACGTAATACCAACTAACGAGCTAGAAGAGATCCACATATCATTGTGCAAGGGCTGATATGCAGACCTAAGGCTCCCATAGACGATAAGATTTGTCTTTCGACATACACAGCATCGAGGGTTGGAACTGTCATTCAGACGATCGAAGCGACGTAGGTTGTACGAGCAGTCGTATGACAAATCGTATCGTCTATGGGCTGCTTTATACGAATAAAACGCTGATCAAGCTATAAAGAACTCAAGTAATTAACTTTCTTTCGAATTCTTCACATTTTCCAGGTAAGGGTCGAAATTCACACACGTCGGCATGACACGCCGTGGGAATCGTTGTCACGTGTACAGTCGACACGTGGTCGGGTCCGACACCGTCCGATCGTGACTGTTCAGGACGTGTCCGCCCGGCGATTTTTCAGGGAACGCGGGAAGGTTCTCTGGCTCGTTTTGGCCGAGTGGATCAAAAACAGAATAAGGGAGGATCATTATTTTCAAGGTGCCAAGAGACACGGGTTCCGCGGCGCGATGGAACCCGAGAAGGTATTTTTCACGAGTTCCACCTTTTGACACCGATGCCGAGTCAGACTTCGGGGAACTGAGTGATTCGTTTAGACAGTTGTTGGATCGTTTTAGACGGAGCTGCGAAACGATTTACTGAGATCAGGCCGAGAGAGTGTGAAGACTCTCTCCGAGAAAAATCTGATACGACGGATTGGAATCGATGCGATCGATAATACGAAATTCTTTTAAATTTGTTCGAAGACGCTTGACGTCAGGAAATCGTTTACCAGCCGATTTGGATTTGTATTTTTGCACTGGATCGATGATGGTTGTTCGATGTTGGATCGCGCCGTCAGTGTTCGTGACGACGCGTATCTGTTTACTGTCGATGTAATTTTACTGTTTGTTGAGAGAAATGGACAGGAGGAAGAGATCAGTCGCCTTGTTCCGAGAAAGCAGAAAAGTGTTTCACTTGAGGAACAAGCAATTAGGGAGGCGTAATGAAGTACGATACCTGGGAGAGCGTTGAATCGAGCTTATTATACAACCGATACTGGCCTAACTTAACGTAGATACTAAAATGAGACTAATCCAATTAAACGTACCAAAACGAATTTATCATTGTCGATCGATCGACGCTGCGCAAGAACTGACGTACTTCATTAGTCGTTTTATTAACGGACATAAAACTGAATGTGTTCGTTGTAACCGTACACGAGATTCGTTCAAACTTCAATCGTGAACATTTGATGAGCGAGTAATATTTCGGAATCGAAGTATCTCGCCAGCGACATTGTTATAGTTGCCGATCGAGAATCTAGAATTTGTTCGTTCCCTTGGATGATAAAAAGTGATACGAACGAAGAACATGAACTTGTTGAATGGTCACCGATGATGTATTTAGTGAGATTGTTTATCCGACTTTTTTTGCAAGAAGATGTTGTTGCAAGCGAAAGAATTTAACGAAGGAGTGATTTTGTAGCCGCGAAACATTTCTATTGAAAACGAAGAAAATTTCTGGAAGTTTCGTCGCGATAAATTAGCTCGCGGAAATTCAATTGTTACGGAGTGAATTTGACAAAATTGCAAAGTTCCAGAGGCCAATTCGTATATAGTTTCCCCCTGGTCAGGGTACTTTTGTATAAGTCTTAAAGCTCTTTGTATCTTCCGCGCGTTTTACTCGCTTAAGCATATTTAAGCGATTCGTCTACTTTTTCTACAAAACTTCATAACGATCCGCGGATAATATCGACTACACGATTAACATACAGCGTATTTGACAATAATTAATTGATATCGATTGTTCGAGTGATCCTACACGAGACCAAGTATCAATACACACCGACGATACCAACCGTTGCAGAATTGTTTTGGTTCCGTGTCGCTCCGTTTGCACGTGTCGTGTGTTTCGCGTTGTTTAAAATTTAGATTTTTTCAGACCGCGGACATGTTCAATTGTTGTTGTAGGGATTTACCTGTTTTCTTTCCTAAGGCACGACCTCTGATGGATCGAGGGTCGCAGATTTACTACAAGCAGTCATAATATTCGGATCGTCGAAATCAGCGAAAATTTTTTTTGAGGTAAATCTAAAAAAATATAACTAATTTGAAGCACAATTTTGCTTATTGATTTATCGTCGTTGAAATTTGTTTACAACAATGCTTATTTTTGTAACAGTTGTAGCAAAAGAATTTTCACATTATTATAGTAAACAAATTGTAGTGGGTGAGGAAAATGTTAAGAAAGGAACTCTAATTTAATTTTTGTTCGATTATGAATAATTCAGTGGTAATAACATGAAATCGTTTCTACCCAACTGATTATCAGTTTCTATCATCTCCAGACTTTTTGTTGACTGGAATAAAGAACGGTTCTATGTCACGAACAAAGAAATAATTGGCATAACATAAAAGTTATAGTCAAATTGTGTGACTCGTAGTGAAGCTATCGACCTAAGTTAACTCTCTAAATCTTGAACGTTCAATATTTTTATCCCATATTTTTCTGAATATTATAAACGACGAAAAATTTGTTCAAGTCATTGACCCTAATATTATGACTTCTCCTTAGTTATAGTACCACGTTACCTTGTTACTTTACAATTTTTGTATGTTCACCAACATATGGTTATCTCCAAACGACAAAAATATTACCGTTCAATACGAAATGTGAAAGAATATTGTACAAACCCACCACCTAATTATAAAGCACATATAAGAACAATATGACAAACGCAGTCTAGGCACACCCAGCGTTAACCCCTTGCCCTATAACATCGAGTCAGACTCCTGTTGACAATTTCAAAATCGATTCAACAAAGAAGAATATTATTCGGTTTCCTTTGAGTCGAAGTGAAATGCCACATTGCTGGCATTAATATTTAACTTGTACAGTAAAAATACAGTTGCGATAAGTAAAAAATTTCTTTCGTTCTTGGGAAATTATCGACAACAATGTAATCCTGGAGTCTGCAGACGTCAAGAAAATCATAGGGCAAAGGGTTAGAGGGTCGCGTCGTTTTACTGCAAAGAGCCGGGTACCATTTCATACGTTTCAAGACTGACAATGATCTCTATGAACTCTGAAAACGGTGCACGAAACAAGGTCACGGTTAACGTTGGACAGATACAATAAATCAATACTTTCGGTAGAATACTTCCATGACTTTAGGTGTCTCGACTTCACAACCGGCTCAAGCCGAAAAAACGATCGCCGCCCAATTCGCTTCTCAAATAGTTCGAGATCTTTTCGATGTGTATATAGCGACACCCGTATGTGTGAAGATCGCCTCCCGCAAGCCTATTGCTCGAGTAACATGCACAGCCCAAATGATTCGTGCCGTTCGACCCGTCAACCGACAGACTACTCGCGGCAAGGATCATTCGAGGCTGGGTGTGATATTCACCAGCAAAATTTTCAGCCGTGTATAGGGCTTATATTTTGTTTATCGGTGTGATTTCTATTATCGTGCGAGACCGTAATAACGTTAATGCAGATGACTTTCACGAATCGACCGAAGGAGAAGCAAGACACATCGCCAATGAAAGATCTGATAATCTATGCCTTCGACATTTGTCTTTGATAAAATGAATATCAGACTACTCGTGACACGTGTAATCGTGAAAAAGTAAGTGAAGGTATGTGTAAAATATCGAATTGATAGATTCACGATTGAGGGTAGTTTGAAAGAGGATCCAGCGATATCTTGCGGATTTTCACTTCGGTTGTCTTTGTGTCTGTTTAGCGAATAGGAAGCTGTAGAACACACCTGTCACGAGAATCCTTGATTTTCGAGTTTCGGAAGTCGATGAATACGGACGATGAGAGTATAATATTATTTATTGTAGCCACGTAAGGTAGGCGAAAGTACACCAGCTGTATCCGCGATTGATACTGTACGAATGCATCTGTCGTATTTCTAGTGTGCAATAAAGAACGGTGTCATGTATTCAGCAACGATCACGTCCGTAAGTTATTATTAATGTTATAAGTGTCTAGAGGCAAGATACGCAACTGCGCAGAAAATATATTTGTATTATATGTAACTCGTTCCTTCCCACTGGTGTCGTTATTTCGTTATCCTGCGGTCTAACGTTCTCGAGTAACATACAATTCGATCCTGATCTCCATCGGTATTTGCTCGTCCTTCGGTCGAATAACATTTTTTGTTCGCCTCTGACTGTGGTTTCAATAATGGCTTCGTTATATTTGTTTCACGAGACGAACTTTCAATGGTGTCTTTGGTTATGTAAATAGGAACACGATTGTAGAAATAATCTCACGATTATAAAAGAGCCTAATATAGTTTATTCAAAGAAGCGACGAATTTAACTAAAACAAAATGATATTCCGAAATTATTTTAATTTATCTGGTTTCACAGACGATCTGTCATTTATCCTTTATCTAAAAATCTAGATACAATATCAAGAAAGTGGAGCAGACTAACTAGTTTAAAAAAAAAAAGGATTTAAAATTTATTGACACTTTTTTTACAAACGCAGTAAAATGCCGTAAACTGTATGTAATTTTGAATTACACCGGCTGCTATGTTACAATTCAAGGTAAATTACAATTCACAGTAACGGTTGTTTAGTTATACGTTACGAAACTGTTGATTGCGTTGTGTATATATGTATAAGTAATTCCATGGTTGTATATACTCAAGAAAATATATATATGTGCTTTTCTCTTAAAAGCTACTTGAGGAAGTACACTGTACGATTACATACGATTTCACGCTGAATACTTTGGTAAATATCCGCTTTGTGCGTTTACATTTGTGTTCACTGCACACTTGCCTTATTTTATTGACTAGACATACATTTACGCGAACCTTACAAGAAGTATGCATCGCATACGGTGTTCCTTCGACTTTCACCGGTAACATCATTCTCTTTGTATCGTTAAATTAATCCTGATAAATTAGACTGCGGATTTTATGCATTTATCGTGAATGCAATTGAATCAAACGAAGAATTATAAACATTAATTAAATGTAACACATACCTTATTTTCTACTTTACCTAATAGGACTGTTAACAAACAATGTGAGTACACGTGTATTTCTAATTTTCACAAATGAACTTGTAAACGTGTAAAAATGCATAAACGTCCGCAATTTATTAATTTTTACATTTAACATTTAACATTTAATACATTTTTCCCTCGAACAAACGGCACTCACCCTCACTTGCAAACTGCAAACGAGTGGAGTTGATCGCACTATGTTAGACATAAATTCGGTAAACTATCAAACTTTTCAAGTCAACAATTAATGTACGTCCGTTAAAAAGGTACTCGCGCGTTTTACGATATCTAATCTGTTTGGAATGATATCAGTCGGTTCACTCCGCTGAAACAATTATGAGACAATGAAAATCTCTTTGTTAAATATGTTTGTGGAATTTAGAAAACTGTGTGTCTTTCGAACGTCGTGTCAGAAGTAAGAATTCGTTATCGATGTGAGTATGAAATTTTATAATACATTTTTAGTGAAACATTACGTTATTTGCTCATAAAACGGAAACGAGCATCTTTCGAACAAAATTTGATGCAAAATCTGGATCACAATGTACTTGAATAATACCTAGAATGTTAGCTGCTAACACTCAGTCTATTATAAAAAACCTTCTTCGAATTACATATATTTTTGAAAGTAGCAATAACGTTTATTAAAATTCAAGTTATGACTTTCTTCTTTGTATGCTCATAACATCGACACATAGCTTCATAACCAAATCGGTTGGCAAACGGTCACTATGGTTCGTGAAATTAATAAAATATGGCAATGCAGAAATTCGAAACAGTACGAAAAACTGATGTAAATTGTACACAAAACATCAGCGAGGTATTGTTCTCGACGCATTCCTTTGTTCCTCAACGACTCGATGTGTAATTCCAAGATTCCTTCGAAGGAAGCTTTCAGTTCGAAACCATTCCATTTAAACATATTTATAAACACTGTATATGTGTACATTATATATACGTTCTTTATCCTTACATACTCCGAACTTTCGCAACGTTCGTCGTCATGGTCGACCGCGATCGTCGAATTCCACAAACATTTTCATTCATCCTGACAATCCTGTGTCAATCGAATAATTTTCACGGGCATCATCCTCCAGTGTCGAGCGAAGGTCCACCGGATGATCTCAAAGGGTGACTTAAACGTAGCTAACGTCGTGATTTTTTAGTCGTTTCAGGAGGACCATTCGCTGCAGCCTGTCTCAGTCCGACACTGCCACTAACTGGGTTTCGTGCTCCTCGCTGACAGGCGTGGAGGGTGCTTCGGTGATCGGGGTCGATGGATCACCACTGCTACCCTGGTGATCGGTGGTCCCTGTCGAACGAATAGATTAAATTAAGGCTGATTGACTTATTAATATCTTCCGTCAATACAGTTAACTAGTTTCAATATCGATATGGTAACGTAAAATGAATTAAGTTTGGTAGTATGAAATAAAACTACCATTATGTGGACCTCTGTTATTTTTATCTAATCCAAATACTTCCCTAGAGTGACACAGTTAACGCTAATTAGAGCAATTAATTTGAGATTCGATAAAAAATATGAAAAAGAAATTTACGTGTAATTTTTAAATATTAATATCTTAGGGACTAGTTATAGACTATACAGGGTATTAGATAATGGGTGTCAGAAACTTTAAGGGGTGATTCTTTATGTTAAAGTAAAATAAAAATCAAGAATGACGGAATTGTGTTGGAGACTTTGTTTTCAAGTTATTAACTGTAAAAGGTTGGACTCAGAAACGCCTGAAACCAGGCAACCTGCGTAGACGCAATAAACGTTCTACGCCGTTGTTACATTGTTGACGTTTTAAGAGTCATTTGCTACGGAATTAAATCCTATATAATACTATCTACATATCAACAGGGAATTAAATTTTTTTTTATAATATTTATTTTAGAGGAGATTAATGAACGTAATAAATGCATGTTATATTCAATGTGAAAAGTACACACCTGTATATGAACTCGACCGGCTTCTACCCGGCCAGCAAATTTTGCAAAGTGGTTTCAGAAGGCGGAATCTTGGCCTGGGCATCCTCAGTAGCACGTAGATGTATGGATCCAGGGTGAAGTGAATGCAGAGTAGGATGTCTGCGGCCACGTGAAACATACGAATCGCTTTACGAGCGACTATTGCTTTCTGAGGCAATTGCATCGCCAACTGGGCCAATGGAATGGACATCTGTTGGCATATGTTATTAACAACCTTAACATTTTAAGTATTTGCAATACTGATTTAATATTATATTTCGTAATGATCACACTTTGAAACCGTTAGGTCCTAGGCAATGTTCAATTTAGTGCCCCTTATTTGATTTGTTCTGAATTTTGTTCTATTTTCAGATTTTAGATTTTTTGTTAATACAATTTGTCAGTATCCTTTGCTGGCGAGTTCATCTTTTTATTACAAAACGCAGGTAAAAGTACGAGAACTCCTCAGATAATTAAGTAACAAGACACACCAAATCAACAGAAAATGAATGTTATTAATTTATCATTTACATTATTATTAAATATATTCAGCAAGTTTATATTTTCATGAAATAATTTCAAATAATTGAAATTCCAATTCAATTTGCTGCATGTATTAAACGCTCGAATAGTTTAAAAATAAATAAAAAAATTCCTACAGCTTGTAAACATTCTTCTTTCATTCTGTTTTGAGTACCTGATAAAGAACCATACCGAAACCCGTACACGCCAATTTTAATCACACTTATATGGAAAATAGTTCTCCAAAGAATATTTGACAGATATTTTTTTCGTTGACCATCGTTCATGTTAAGAATGATCTCTAGACTACGGATCTCTATGCAAAATAACATTTTATTAAGTAATTTACAAAGACAGAATGAAAAACAAAAACTTCTTTTTTCTTTGAAACTCTTTATTGGATTAAGAATAGAACCAAAAATATATTAAACCTGATTTAAATTCTGTTTTGTATTGCATTTCATATACTCGTTTATACTATACCTGTATAAAATCCGCACTCTAGTGATAACAATCCCCAAAACTGACGGAAAAAGATATATTTTTTGCAATATCTTGAAAACTAGAGGGAATAGGCAACAGTCTTTTTCTTCTAAATTGTGTTTTTAAATGGAAAATTCAGTCACACAAAGAAATTTCAGAAGAAAACTATTTGTATAAATAATATATTAAAAACTTGAATTCTTTATCTAATTTTGTCATGTACCTAAATTACCCATTAAAAAACACACAATTTAAAAAATAGATTTTTTTCTATTCCCTCTAATTTCCCTGATACTCCAAAACATACATTGGAGGTATATATCCCGTCAACTTGGACAGTAACCGATAAGAAGAATACGTGTCAAATATTGTTTGAAGAACTATCTCCTATATAAGTGTCATTAAAATTGGCATCGGTTTATTAATTAAATCGGTTTCTATATTTTGCCCTTGTGAGTTTACCTCGTTACAAACGTATAAAATCCACAGTTCCATAATCATATTTTTATACATTTTCTTAAGAATAGTTGGGAAAAACTAGGGAAGTTCGACAACGCAGAAGTGGATACAGTCCCACGTGTCCGTGTCAACGACAGGAATACACAGATCTTCGATGGGGGGCGTAGTCACTGAAAATTTTCCTTGTCATTTCACGAAATCGCTCCACATTCGGTATCGTTCCACGCGCACGGGTGCCAACATCGTCTGTTACGAGCCCCGATCATTGGCGGATGTCGCGATCGTTCGTACGTGAATATATTCTAAACTAAATCGTTATTTCGAATCTTCGTATAGAGCGGCGGAAGTGCGTCATATTTTTCAACATTGCACGAGAGCGAATCGTTACATTAATTCCATCGTACACGTGTGCCCGTAATCCCACGAACGGTTTCGTGTTCCGACTCGCGAAAACAGCAACAGAAGGCGTTTCTTGTTTGTGTTCGATCGTCTCTCGTTGGGGTACAATCGGAGCATTGGGCTTCGGTTCGGCGGGAACTTCCGCGGTATGCTCGACGAGAAAAACGGTCGTATAAGAAGATGGAAATGCAGGAAGCACGCGTATGTATGCGATCGAAGTAGCACAGGGTGTATTGTTCGAGGCGATTGTATTCTTCGTGGCAGGATGTAGTATCGCGATTACATTGTGTTAAAAATTCTGGAATGCGAACGATGAACGTGTTTCTACTTGATTGACACAATTATTCTTTCTCGGTGGAATGTTACATATGGAAGAAAGATTAATTCAGTCGTAATTTTGCTGATATACTTTCATTAATTAAAAACGAAGCGAAATGAAATTTGATATATTCAGAAAATGAACCAAAGTTATAGAATTTAAAAAGGAATACAAGAAGCTACACTGATCATTAGTCTGCTGATTTTTATGCAAATATAGATTTTTATCGATTAACTGACAAAAACTGGAATTAGACAGGAACTTATTTATCTTATTATGGATTTTGTCGAACTTTAAATGAAATGTACATTTCAGTAAAACTGTATTGTATTTCTCACTGAACTGACTTTTAAACAGTCGAATATTGTATAAAATCAAATCAGCTGTCTAATGATTACTTTTGTAATTCAGTGTTTATATTTGAAGATTTGAAGGTGACTGAATGTTTCTGTAAATGGAGCACAGTATATCTCCATACGAATATCAAAAGACAAACAAACATTAAGTAAAAAAGGATTGAAGGGATTCGAGAGATATAACAAAACCTTGTAGTTGTACGCAGTAACACGAGTAAGTGTCAAAAGACATCAATAATAACAGAAAATGTTATTTTCGTTTTGAATGATGTTATAGTGCACGACTTATCGCCACTTTCTATTGAGATTTCACGTAGGAACGGTAGGTCGTAGACTATTGATTGAAAATAATTTTTTATGTTTATGGTTTAGGGGCGACACGTGACAAGGAATGGAAAAGTATCGATACTCGTTTAAAGTCTCGTCAGCGTCGGAACGACCGCAAATTTTATCGATGTTTCGACTGCGTAGGAGTAAATATTATCGAGTGGATGTTTGCAAGCACATCACGTAACGACATTGCTTCCCATAAAACAGACTAACCGGAAGCTTATTATCCCTCTACTCTAGACGTTCGCTTACTTGAGGTTCATTGCCAAAAATGTACCATCCATGTCGATGGTCAAGATTCTATCCAGATAACATGAGCGAAGCTGTGGAGTTTAAATTAAAGATCATGCAAATAATAACTAATTTTTAAAGGACGCGTACTTTATAAATTGTTTAGTACACCTTTCTAAATATTTTTTTATATAGTCTTGATGTAAAAATTTATAATATACAATTTATTCTCTGAAACACCCGTCACTTATGATAAAAAATACTTCTATGTCAGCCGAAAGCAATCAGTATAAGTGGTTCTGTCAATGAGACTTCGAAGATATAAGAGGTCATACATATCTCGAAATTGAAAATAACACTATTGAAAGTGAATTTTAACACTGATAGAAATATTTGAAATATTAATGAATTGAAGTCGAACTGAAATATGATAGTTCAAGGAATAGTCTCCAATCGACATTAACATTTTTTACAGTAGAACCTATCGAAGAAAGAATACGAAAAAATATAAAAACTACATTTTCAGGAGAATTCTATTCTTTCGAGCTTCGAATTTAGAAACAGTTTGTCAATATACCAACTTCAAACTATCTTAATGCAGTACACTAGTTTATATTTGATTACCATCTATTTATTATCTAGAGACCAAGTTTCATGTAAATCATAATTTAGAATATCATTTCAAAAAAGACCACCATATAAATTGCAACACCTCATTTTTTAAGCCAAACATTTTTCAATATTGTAAAAAGGAACGAAAATTAATTAATTGATTCGAAACTCTTTTAACTACTTTAGTTAACATTTTATCTCGTTAAAATGAGGTGATTGAGAAATCTAATTACTCGATACTAGATGGACAGTAAATTACGCACCATTTGCGGCATCCAACAAATAACGAACGATATCGATAGCACCGCCATCAGTCTCGCGAACGCCCTTTCCTCGGCCGTTGTGACGACTTCCGACGGTGGGCCAGCCACCGTCAAAAGCGGTTTCGCTCTTGAAGAGGATCTTGTTACGCGGCGTAGGGCGCCGGCCTTTCGATTTAACCTGCTAAGTGCTCTGGAAACGGCTAAATTGCACCAGACTATAGACAAGCAGAGGCCGGTACCTGCAATTATTTAATAACAAACTATTACCCTTCGATGTTATTATATCCATAAAAAATACTGCAGTTAAGTCAGAATCACAGTAGCGGTAAAAAAACACAGTATGACTTTACTTTTAATGGATAACCTTCGGGCGCATGTAAAGAGACTGCAATCAAAAGCAAAAAAAAGGTAGCGTAATAACACGTTTGCTATCATATCCCGTGCGAGGAGTAATAGTAAAATATTTGCGGGATAAGAAGTAATATTCTTGTGCTAACTTGTTAACCATTACTTTAAAAAATCGTATTTGTTTCTGAAAATATCAAGGATCTATATTATCTTATCGAAATTCATGATTATTTTCAATATCGTATATATTTAATGTTGGACAATATTTTTAGATAATTGGTACACCTAATACTTTGGCTGTTTACGAAATAGGTTTGATACCATAAAGTTTACAGCCACAAGTTTTCGTGGTTATTACACGAATATTGATAAAATAATATAATTTAGACTGCGAATATTTCTGTAAATTCCCTTCTTCGTACACGAATTTGAAAAAACAACTCTCAGAAGATGAATCATCTCAGATAGCAAATGACCCCTTGAAGACGACTTAAAGACGCCTCAGACCTAAAATAGCCGTAAAATAGGCCTCTTCAAGGCGTCATGTGCTATCTGATATAAAATAAAAATTCCGTTATTTTTACGTAATGTTTATATTTAAGTTTCTCAGTTCACGCGCATTATACACGCGCAAACATCTTAAAACAAATCTGTTAATTTGAATCGCTAAGAGCAATGTCCAGAAAAAAATTTTAACCCATAACAGCTTTCAACGATTCATGTACTTCCCTACTCGTTTCACGAGGGTTTATACTATACATATATCACGATCCTTCAATAATCGATGAATTTTTATGACTTTGTTATGCCAAACTATCATCGCCGCTAAAACGTCTACGTCATAATCGAAGCACTGTTCAAAAAAATATCTAATTTTAAAATTACTAGAACTATCGAGGGTCTATGTATAGACTCTATAGTCTATACTCTATATTATCGAAGTATTTATCGTTTGCAATAGTGTCGTATACTCACCGAAAACAAACCAAACGTAGGCGTAAGCAATGTCGGCCGGGTCAGTAGCTTCCCTGTATCGAACGCATCGTTCCCCTTTGTAGTACAAACCAAAACCCAAAACCGGCAAGCTAGTCAACGCGAGGGCAATCAACCAAAGTACCAGCATACATCGTACAATTACCGGATACGTCACCTGCTGGAAAACACATACGTGTTACAGACGAAACGGTATTAGTTGGTATTCTTAGTTCATATAGACATTATTTCCTTAATGATAACTTACATTTACAAATACAAATTGAAAGGCATAGCAGTTAATCACTTATTAATCTTTAGACTGCCGAAATTTGTTTATACAATAAGTGGTATTTGTTGGTAAAAAAATTGTTGTATATGTACATATAACGTATGCATTGCGCTGAATTTTGAATTTTGTCAATGTCCCAAAAGGGATACTTTCGGCAGCCTAAAGGTTAAATATTCTATTACGTTAAAAATAGTTCAAAGTTCTGACACACTGGTGAAAACAATTAAATGGTCATATAACTTCTGTAAAGTTTTTTTTATAAGAACAAGACAAGATCTGTTAGTGTCGTACGAAAAGATGTAAATTTATCAAACTGTAGGATTTATTACATTTCTATCGATTGGTCAACGCATCAGCATTGCCTACAGTGTAAGATCCTCCAATTGTTCTGATCAGTGAATTTTTTTAACCTTCATCCAGATAGAAGAGCTTCTGAGGGTCGTTTATTATTTCATAATGAATAATATAATAATATGCGCAAATAATAATTAAAAATTTCATGTTCTTCTTTCACTAAATAAGTAAACGGAATTTAAAGAAGTAAAGTATTTTAGAATTATTAATTTCAGTTATTCTATACTGAGAGCCTCTGTGTTTCTTCTCCATTCTATCATGATAAAGGTTGAAGTCCACATTTCATTGTGCTTTATACAGTCACGAACGTTGTAAGCGAATAAGGTCTGCAATCCATTTATCATCAAAAATTACTTTCATATAATCCTAGAATCCATGTTGACTAAATCTTTTTTAACCTTTGTATTGTATTTTGGGACATTACTGTGTCGCATCACTAAAAAACAGCTACTCTTCACTAACGACAATTCTTTGTTACAATCAGAAAATAGTACTATATACTGCTGGAATAAGGTCATATTTGTTATTAAATAATGTACAGTTATATGACGTCGAGTAATTATTTCCCCTGAATCATTCATCGATAATGAAACATCGTTATCAACGAACTGCAAATGTCTTCGAGACACGACGATAAAGAGTCAATGGAATATCAATTATGTTCGAAAGGAGTAATTATTTCCCCTGAATCATTCATCGATAATGAAACATCGTTACGAACTGCAAATGTCTTCGAGACACGACGATAAAGAGTCAATGGAATATCAATTATGTTCGAATAGGTTGTGAATGAATTGAACACGGACAGTGATTGAGAAAGTTCTAACGCTGGTATCATTAATTTGCACGTTGGTACCATAGTTGGGCGAGTTTTTAAAAAAGTTTTTGACTACTAAACAAAAGTTTAAGTTCCAATTTATAAAACGAAACTCTATATTAAGTGTATCAACGAATAAAAAATCATTCAAACCGTGGTTTAACAGAATATATATGTCCAAAGCCCTCAACCTAAAATAGGTGATGTTAGGGATACATAGGTGTTGCCCTAAAAAAAAAAAATAAAAAAAAAAGGTCATTGAACTTTGGTATAATATTGAAGACCTTCAGTCTTTTTTTAGATTAAGGAAGTGTGCTATAGGGAATCGATTCTTCTGTGACGTCGTTACACACGTGCGTAGGGAAA